GGCGGCGGTGGAGGCGGTGGTGGTGGAGGTGGTGGAGGTGGAAGTGGTGGCGGTGGTAGTGGCGGCACGAACAAACCTTACCAATACAAAGACGAGATATGGTCGTCTATACGAGCACGTAAAGTACGTAGACCCCAGTACTGGCTGACTCGAGGGTGTAATAGTGTATAAGAACCGGCTGGTGGTTCCGCCGGTGTGTTTCTTTCTTCCTCCTTCGTCTCTCTCTCTCTCTCTCTCTCTTTCACTGTGTGTGTGTGTGTCACTCTCTGAGAAATCTGTTTCGCTCTCTCCCTCGTTTTAGAGTAGAAGCAGACGAGCGGACAACCCTCCACCTTCATCGCGCGCCCCTCTTTCTATCCCACCCCTAACACACAAGTCCCTTCCACGGTGATCTCGAAAGGAGAATATATCCAACATCCCTTTTCTCCCTCTTCGTACACGGTCGCTCCTACAACGACGAGAGGGCGCTCCCCTCTCTTGGATGTGCGCGGTACCCGAGCCTCGGAAATTCTGAAAGCGGTTCGCGCCTGTGCAACTCGCGCGGGGGTGGCAAGGGACCGAAAATCGAGGTGAAAGGAAACTCCGCGGATCCGGCCTAAGGGTCTCTCCTAGGGCTGGTGCGTATATCGGGTTCTAGCTGGAGATTTTTTTCGACACGCGCGCGTTAAACGTCGCTGGCTGACATACACCGAGACATATACAGAGAGGGAGAGAGAGTGAGAGAGGAGGGAAAATAGAGAGAGAAAAATAGAGAGTGCGAGAGAGAAAGAGAGGAAATATACATATTACGCGTTGATCGAACGATTTCCCCACCGTGGTGCAAGTTACGTGCGTCGCGTTGCCGCGTCCTCTGGCCCCGTTTATACGCTGGTACACTGGTACGCGTAAACACGCACACACAGGTGTACCGCCGCGCGTTAACCGCGTTTCGTCAGCAGGGCGAATCCTCGTCGATGTGTGTGACACAGCGCCAGTGACACATCGTGATACACTTGGATTTACATATCTCTTCTAACCAGCGTTCATTCTGTGTCGTCGCCTTCTTTCTGTTCCCTCCATCTCGTCTATCGCGGCAAGCAACCCTTCTCTTTTATCATCCTCGTGTGTGTGCTTGACCCGAGGAAAGGCTAAGAGGAGACCAAGAGAGTGAAAGAGAGAGAGAGAGAGGGGGAGAGAGAGGACACTCGCGACGCTGAACGGAACAACGAACCGTAGGTGAGGACGTGCAGAGAGAGGAGTGAGAGAAGAGAGGACATTTACACGAAACCTCCGATAACCGACGACGACTCGGCGGACTCGTTCGATCGTGGTGGTGGCGGTTTCTTCCTCGCGTGACACACTTTTGTCGTGAGAGAGAGACGAGAGAAACTCTCGACGAAGCCTGACCTGACACGAAACGGGGAGAGAACACTAGGCGGACCGATATCGTGAGTTATATATCGGTCCCGTGTACGGAAATCTGCGTTAAAATCATCCCGACAGTGATATATAGTTCTTCATCTGTGTTATTTTATTGGTGAGTGGTGCAGCGCAGCGGTGATCAGTGCAGAGGGGTGATACAAGGAGAGCAAGGATATAAGAAAGATAAAAGAGGAAGAAGAGAAGTTTGTTTCGTGGTTTTATTGTTTGACTGAGAAAGAGAACTCTATCTCTTTGAGTGACTAATACTTAAAAGGTCGTGATTTACGTTCGGTGAAACTTCGCTGGTGCGATTTACGAACTCGCCAGGATTTTCGATTAAAGGACCAGGTGGATCGTGAGTGCCGAATACGGGGGTATCATGTATCCCCGATTGCAGCCCTCCTTTGAGGGTTAAATCCGCTGATTTCGCGTCTCAGCTACGCTGTCTCGACTTCATCCTGCCGCCAGTGGTGTGTAATTGTGCGCTCTGGAACTAGACTAGAAGTACGTCTTCTTAAGGACTCCCGATTTCGGCGCAAGAGCTGGTCCCACTGAGGACTAACCGTGTACCACATCCCCGCGCTGAAAGTGAGTCTTATAACTCTCCTAGCTTATTCTTCTCCTTCTTCTTCTTTTCTCATTTTCGTGTCCCAAATCACCTCCGCCCAGTTACCAGCTAGAATTTCCATCTTGCGTAGCTTTAAGACGGTGCTCTCAGTCGTGGACGTAATCGAATACGACGACGAATCCCTCTGGATTTTCTCCTTCCAGACCTTCTTATGCATTCCGTTTTTATAATTTTGCATGATGAGCCAATCGAAAGAGAGGGGCCGTTAACAACGTACCCCGACTAACAAAGCGTACTGTCGTTTAATGACGTCGTGGCTCCTATAATCCGTGGATTTATTCAAATTTAACGAACCACCGTTGCATCGAGAGACAGCAATGTTATACAGAACATTTCTCTCTCTCGTCTTCTTTTTTCTTTCTTGTTTCTGTGTATGTACGTGTATATACGCGAAGAGGTTCGATTCTTTCGAGCCACGAACGAGATAACAGGACGTAGTTAATGGCATTTCAGAGTAAGACGAAGGGAATCCAATTTATCCGTCACTTTGTCGCGACTAAAATCCCGAAGGAAGTTCAATCGTGTCGACTGGTTTACAATGAATTCAATCAACAAAGCGAAACCTTATTTCGAGCCTCGTGTGTTGACGTGTGATGATAATGCGTTTATCTCCACACCTCTCGTGTATACCAGTAGAGCTTTCTCGCAATTGTGCCGCCTTTTTCCACCTAATTATCCGCCAAACGACCTGATTGGAACGATAGACCCGTGACTTTTTTTCAATTACACTGTCGTTTACCGCGTTCGAAGATGTGGCAATTGTAAATTTAAAAGATCGTAGACCGTCGTTCGTTCCGTCATTAGCTACACTTTAATTTCCCATTTATAAGCGAGAAACTTCCACTATAATTAATTATAAAGAGATACGAAATGAATGGGAAGTTTGAAAAGGAGAACGAAGGAATCTCGCGAAAATTAACGAAGGTAGAAAACTCTACATCCCCGGCGATACAGTTTCCACGATAAAATCCCTCCCCGGTGTGTATCGTTCGAAATTTCCGCCGAAAAAGAAGAAGAAAAAAAGAACTCTTTAAAATCGGAGCCAACCTCGAACGATATACACAAAATTCCCCGCTGCTAATGAACTTTCTCCGGGTCCCCCGCAACATATTCATTTCGTACGCGCTAATTGCACATAATTTTCTAAATGCAAATGCCCCGCGAATCGTCGAATATATGCATTCGTGATTCAACTTCGCCAGACAAGAGAGAGGCGCGCACGTTCATTCAATTCCTCGTCCCTTGACTCCTCGTTCCTGGAGCTTGTTCAACAATTCGTTATTTATGCAAATTCTCACGGACCTTCAGAAGGTCGAGAGAGAGAGAGAGAGAGAAAGAGAGAGAGAAAGAGTGAAGGAGAGTCCATCAAGCAGGATCAAAGTGCGTTTCGAGGTGAGTCGTCGGACGTCCATCAGATCGTGAAGATAAGAGTCGAGTATACGAACCGTTTCGAGGGTCGTTCGCAGTATTGTGCGCAGCGTGGAGGACTTTCCAGTTAAAACGTGCAAATAAACCCGTTGCCTAACTACAATTATGTATTCGACCTTCTAATTCGATATTCCCTTGTCTTTTGTCCTGGAGAAATCAAATTTCTCAATGTTGTCCTCAAACGCGTATATACTGCTGCTGGTTCCATCCCTCGTAAGTAGGAAAAGCTATCGACCACCAACCCTCTTTGGTTCGCCACTTTGTCGAGATGACTAGGCAAAAGTTTCGTCTCGTCAAAATAGAGGGGAACTGTGCACACGTTTTTTTTTTCGGTCGTACAGAAATTAATAAAGAATGAAGCAGAGAAAAACACGCGCACACACAGAGACAAATAGGCTAGCACGTAAAACGTAACGTCGTCTTTACAATATAGAACGAGCCGTTTTCAATCGGGCTCGCCGTGTCGTAGCCGCATGAAAAGCGACGCTATTTTTGCGCGAAGCATCCTTCGGAGCGGCCGCAAGAAGCACAAAGAGATCGAAAAAAGAGAGAAAAAAAAGAAAGATGAAAAAGAAAGAGGGAGGGAGAGAGAGAGAAAAGGAAGGTGAAATCTGTGGACGATCGATAGGACACTTAACCTGTTTAGCGCAATTAATCGCATTGCGGGGAAATGATGAATCTGTAACAAGCGTTATTCGAGCGAATGGGAATTTAAAAGGCAGCTAATCTGAAACACGAAGCTTGAACCAGGATGAAAATTCAAGGTAATCGTGATGCGTGAAGAGAGAGAGAGAGAGAGAGAGAGAGATTCTCTCTGTTGAATTTCACTCGAGCGTTCGATGTACATCGAGAGAATATTGCTCCGATTAAGAGAGAGAGAGAGAGAGGAAGAAAGAAGATAAAAACGAAAAGAAAACAAAAGAAAACTGCTCTCTCTCTAGTGTCAATATTTTCCCTTTAATATTTAATCGACCACGTTCCTAAATAAACGTCGCGATAATAGAGGAAGAAGCAGCAGCAGACGGGTAGCCTGATGTTTTGCAGGAGGAAATTCCACCTTAGGTCCTTCTTTTCCCTCAACTTCACACCGTGGAAAGGCGGCTGTGCTGGTTGGGCTTGGTTTGTTCGTTTACGAGGCGCAATTATAAAACGTCCACGAGCCGCTCAAGGCCGTCAGCCCGCCATAAATTCACACCCTACGAGCGAGTAAGCCTTCTCTTCTCAACATGCGACGTGCCATTGATCATGGTACATAGGTAACTCGCGTGGTCGAGGGTTCGAGGCTTCGACGTAGTTACGTTAATTTCTACGAGGCGTCCCAGTTTTCCACGAGTTGGCTCGTTCGTTCTTCCACGTTGCTCTGCCCTCCACGAGCTGCTACAAACACCAGCCAATGCTGTCAGGAAATTACGGGACGGCGTTTCTCTGTTGTGTTGACAAGCGATCCTTCTCTTTGTTATGCCACCCCTTTTTTACACCACCAACACCACCCATATGCCTGTGAATCTCTCTCTATTCTCAACGCCCCCTTTTTCATTTCCCACCCCCGTGTGTCATTAGTCTTCGTAGCGGAGCATCTCTCCTCGTTTTTCCCTTCTTCCACTATCCGTCCATTTCCCTTTCTCCTTTCTTTATCTCTCTATCACGGAATCCTCGGCCTGGCACCAGATTGAAAGCGAATCGGATATGAATTAATACGACTGATAGACGTCTAGGAACCAGCGGAAGTCTTAATCGTTCCTCGCTCTCTCTCTCTCTCTCTCACCGAACACCCTAAAGCTTGTCGAATTCGAACGTCATAGGGGACGACCTGGGATAACGCCTCTGGCGTACGTGTGGTCGAGGGTGTTTACTGCTGGAAGCTACGAAAGGGATTAAGAACTTATGACACTCTACGGTGAGGCCGCTTCGCAGGTCTGCGCCAGGGTAAACATTTTCTCGCGGCATCATTGAATCGAGGGGAAAAGGGAGTGGAACGAGGGTCGAATTAAATTCATCGTCTGAATTCCGATGGTTGGTGCGATGGACCTGTGTAGATACGCGATCGCTTTGTGAAAAATGTTAAGAATTTTCTGTAGCATTCGAATCGACCGAAACGAGGTAATTTACTGTTTCAAATGTGTAAAAAATTAGCAGAAGTTTGTAAATTGGCAGGTGATTGGAAACTTTTGGCCGACAGTGTAACATACGTAGATGGCCTAGTATAGGTTTGTTTCTGTTCCAGCTGGGAATTAAAGGCTCGTGAATGCGCGACTCCGAATAAGCCGTAACTCTTGCAATCGATCGCGTGATTGTTACGCGGTTAGAAACAGAAAGAGCGAATGGAAAATGAATAAAATAAGAGGACAGTTAGGGAAGCTCTTTGATCATGCGCGTATACGCAAAACGTGTAAAATTCTAATATCCTTTAAACTGCTTGATAATCTACGGAATCTGGAACGATACGTCGATACGTCTCGTTTCGAGTGTCCAAACTTGAAAACCCTCGAAATTATGAAATCTACCGAGACACTTCGTCGGGGGGGGCAAATTGAACGTCGTTCTTTGAAAAATGCCGCGATCGAGCAGCTGATAACCAGACGAAAGGTTCCGAATTGAAAAAGTCGAAACACCTTCGAGAGAGAGAAATTGAAATTGACGAGGGCCCAGCTATTATTACAATGGACACAGAAACGCGAATAAGAGCTGCAGCAAGATTTCTCCTTCTTCCATTTTCCTTCCTTCCTCCTTCCTTTCCTTTCATTTCCTCAGCTTCGTTTCCTTCTTTTTTCTTTTTTTCATAAAAACGGAGGGTGAAAAACGCGAAGCTCGCCTGGCATTTTGACGGGTCGATGAGAAAAGAGAGAGAGAGAGAGGGGGAGAGAAAAAAAAAAGAAGCGACCAACAACAAGATAAATCGGCTTGTTAAAAAAGTACCAGGGAGGAAATTTCTGCAGCAAGTGAACTTTAAACGTATTATTAGTTCGCCGTCGAATATCGCGCTGAGAAGTTATGCAAATAACAATGAGTAGGATTCCGACGTATCTCAGTGTGCGTGCGTGTCTGTATGCGTGTGTGTGTGTGTGTACGTAAACGGGCGCGAATGTGTGTGCACGCGCGCACGCGCGTATCTTCTATAATTAATGATTTTTTTTAATACCCTACCAGGGATTCCAATTTCTTCTTTTCCCTTTTCTCTTTCCATCTACACACCCTTCCAACCCCACACACTTTTTCCCTTCGTGATACCGGTTGTGCTTTAATAATATCGTAGCCACCACAACTTTCTATCCAACAAATTGAGTGTTATTAAAAAGTAAACGTGATAGTTGGGGCGCGTGATAAAACCATCGACGCTTCTGCCTCGCGTTCTCCTATCTTTTAGTTTCTTCTTCTTCCTGTTTTTCGTTCTTTGTTCGAATACCTTTCTTTTTCTTCACAAAAACGAAGATTAGTTGGAATACATTTTACGAAAAACAGGAAGATTAGCGGGGGGAGGGATGGAGGAGGAAGGTAAAAGGACGGGACGGATAACGGACAAGGGGTAGAAAAT